AAAGGATCTGCAAGGGACAAGTCACTAAAGGTAGATGTTCTTCATGAAATAAAACAGCAATTTTTGAACTTTTATTCCCATTCTTTTGTGCATAGTTAATCTTCTTTTAATTGTGTAATGCATAAAAAAGGAACACCTGCCCCAAACACACACGTTACTTTCAGCTCTTTAATAAAAACAAGGTGATGAGCACTCCATTGTAACAGTTATAATCCAAATTATCTGTTAAGCTTTTACAGTAAACCTGTTGAGAGAGACAGGCCTACAACTAAAGCCACTTCTCCCTCCACCTGCTTCTTTCAATGCATTAAATTTTTGTGATTGCTGTAGGAATTTGCAATCAGAATTGGCACAAGAGTGACCACCAAGACTGCATTTTTGATGCTTATTTCCTAGCTGTGCTTTGAAAAAGGTGCTAGTAAGATTACTTTGAGTGTTGTGATTCCTCAGTATTTTAGATGAAAATATTACACTTGCCATTACAGGTTTTGCTTTCAAAATGATCTTTTGCCCCACTCCCACTGTGTGTATAAGACTGTGAAATTATGTGTGACACTTCAGAGCCTTCATTGCTTTGAGAAGTTCATATATGTAATTCCTGGTGCACCTTCATTTATTCATGAGGAAAAGTACCACACTTTCCCTTCTGAACTGTCACTGAATCAACACCCTGACTTTATACCAGGGGGACATCATTTAGCTACAACCTCCAGTTTTTCAGTTAATGTAACAGAAGGTTTAGCTCCTGGTAGTTAGAAAAGACCCACTGGAGTTGCCCCAGGGACAGTCTATTAACCTCTGTTCTCTGCTAACATTATTGGAGAAATGATATTCTGCCTGCTGGGCTCCTAGGTTCATCTGCAAATCATATTCCATCTAAAATCCATATGAATTAAGGATAAGTAAGTGACTGTAAGATAATTACTGTAGAGCTCAATCTCTATAAAATGTACTGCTCATATCTGTAACCTGCAAACTATATCTGCAGTGAGTCTTACGCATTGTCACTATACAGTGTTCAGCAGCCTGAGCATATCTATCAAGAAACAGTTTCTTAACTGCAGAGTGCACACAACTACTTCAATTACTTATGAATCTTAATCTTTGATGTGTTGTGGGGCCTGACAAAAAATCCTTTGGACATTTTCAATGATTTGGCAAGGAGTTACAGCAGGCTTGAGAGAAGACCTTTGTATAGCAGTGTAAGTAGCTGCAATGATTACTGGCTTCTTTCATTGTTAATTAAATATAAAAATTATATCCCGTATTTTTTATAGATTGGTCTAATTTTGACATCTATTTTCAACTTCACTTCTCTTCTATGTTATAATATATATTATTTCCTAATTATGAAAAATCCAGTGAGGCTGACAGAAGTGAGTGTAAATTAGTCACAAAGGATGAAAAATGATTAATGGTAGGCCAAGCTGTCAATGAATGCCTAGAAATATTAAGACTTTTAAGAAAAAAATCTTTAAATGGAACTAAAATATACTAAATCTTAATAAAGGTAAAGCTGTCAACCATATGCAAAAAATGGCTGAAATATTCAACAGAGGACATTTTGTTTTTTAAAAGAAACAACTTATTGCATGGTTACAGTAGCAAAATACCTTTGCCTGTGTACCTGTCTAGAAGGATATGACAATCAAATATATTAATGCATTATAATATTCATATTACAAAGCCAAAATCTCAGAAGTTAGTTTAGCATCAGGTAGAGATTTCCTTTGAAGTTTTATTACTGTGCTTAGTTTGATTAGCATGATATTGGACTGAGAGCAGTCCTGAGAAGAAGGACCTGGGGGTGCTGGTTGATAAGCTTGACATGAGCCAGCAATGTGTGTTTGCAGCCCAGAAAGCCAACCGTATCCGGGGCTGCATCAAAAGCAGCAAGGCCAGCAGGGCAAGAGAGGGGATTGTCCCCCTCTGCTCTGCACTTGTGAGACCCCACCTGGAGCCCTGCGTTCAGCTCTGGGGCCCCCAGCACAAGAAGGACATGGACCTGTTAGAGCGAGTCTGGAGGAGGGCCACGAGGATGACCAGAGGGCTGGAGCACCTCTCCTATGAAGACAGGCTGAGGGAGCTGGGGTTGTTCAGCCTAGAGAAGAGAAGGCTCTGGGGGTCTTACAGTGGCCTTCCAGTACCTAAAGGGAGCCTACAGGAAAGCTGGAGAGGGACTCTTTGTAAGGGGGTGGTGTGATAGGACAAATGGGAGTGGTTTTAAACTAAAAGAGGATAGATTTAGATTAGATATAAAGAGGAAATTCTTCACTCAGAACGTGGTGGGGTCCTGGCACAGGTTGCCCAGAGAAGCTGTGGATGTCCCATCCCTGGAGGTGTTCAAGGTCAGGTTGGATGGAACGTTGGGAAACCTGGTCTTGGGAAGGTCCCTTCCAAATCAAACTATTCTATGATTCTACAGTCATCTTGAAGAACATTAAGTAGAGCTGAAGGCTGCTATTTTTAGCTGCATTGAGTAGTACCTTCCGTTTCTTCTAATGCTATTGACATTTACTCTAATTAGGGAATTATAAGAAGTCATGGAGCTTTTTGAGAAATAACTGTGAAAAAAAAATAAACACTGAGAAATGGAAAATTTGCTTAACCTGATTTTGAAAGAGGACTGAACAAAGATTAAAATTTGGATAAGATTTAGCATGGAAATTCCAGTTTAAATGCTTAGTCAGAGAAAATCTTAGTAGAGACTGAAACCAGTTACAGAATGGTAAAACATTGGACCACCTTATCAGTAATCATCACATTTGGCCTTAACTAGCAGGTCAGTCTCAGCTGTCCTAATCATTCCCCTGGTACTCCAGTATTTTTATCAGAGGAGTATCATAGGGACATATACTTTAAAGGGTATCCTTCAGTGGTACTATTATAATTTATATTTTCAGAGTAAAGTTAAAATGAGGCAGCTGGATTCTCTTTTTCCTGGTAGTACTCTGATATATATGATGCAATTCTGATGATACTACTCATTCTGTGACTGCAATTTGGCTGTTAAATTGGCTTACATGTTATGGAAATTTCTGAAGGGGAAGATGCTAACAAAATAAGTAGGTCTGCCTGAATATTGCAGGAACAGTATGTGGTCTCAGATCTATATTTACTTAAAGTGGTGTAATGCAACAAACTTTAGTGGAAAGGTCATTCTGAAATTAAGTCATTCAACAAAGAGTAAAATTTGTATTTCATTTTTTGTATCTGTCATCCTAGATTCAGCTCTCTGTGAGAGAGCTGAATACATTAATTTCTGTTCAAACTGGTTATGCTCATCCACAATTTTAAGGTTGACAACATCCATCTATTTGGATTTCTGTCGATTCTTTCTTCTGTGGTTGAAAAATTTTTACCATCCATTTCTTATCCATCCAGAGTGTGTTTTTTATCTTGATACTTTTTTTCTTATTGTGATCATGTGCTTTATTCTCCAGTTTGTACATTTTTCACCCACTCATTGTATTGTGCTTACCCATCCATACATCTTTGAAAAGATGACCTAAACTGCAGGGATTTGTCAGTCTCTGCTTCTCATGGACAGAGATCCTGACATATAGACTGGGTAAGATGGGCAGACAGACAGGGGTATTGATTGCTCCCACATGTTTTTCTACATGCAAGTACTATTAGGAGCTTCTAAAAGTGAAGATGGCTAGCAGATGCCTCAGCTCTCGGGTCATGAGAAATCCTGAGCTTCTGCTGTATATCCTCCTGTATGATCACCAGGAAAGACTAAGGAATCAAACTTGGCAATGGGCTTGTAACGGTTTCTGACTTGCTCATACTGCTGTTCTAGATTCCTGCTCTGGACACATTTACATATAAATGCTTACATTTCAAGATATTACCTTTAATTCTATTTCTCAACACTGGAAATTAATCTGCAAAGGTCCAGGTCTACTACTATTAGTAGAGTCCCCGCAGAAAGAAGAATCATCTGTATTTATTTGTTGAGTATCTCCTTGCTTAATGCATGCTTCTTTCTCACCCTAATCTTCGCTAAAACCTTTTCTGTCATTCCTGTAGTGTTGTGGGCAGGGTGAAAGCCAGGTTAGTTATGTAGCAAAAAACAAACTAAACCTTCAGGGCCGAGTCTGCCTGGGCATGTGCTCACAGACTTTGTGTGGAGCATGATGCAAACTACAAAACACAATGCTGTCAGTAAAGCTGCGGAACTCAAGGGCATCAATGTTTCTCAAGCTTCCTTCATCCAAAGCCAGAGGGCTTCTGTAATTTCCTTTGTTCCTTTTTCCTCCTGAGGGACAGCTTTCTTTAAAGAAAATCAAGGATGAGAGATAGGTAAGGCCTGTCTGAAGAGACCAGAGGGAACAGTCTGCTGAACTTGATGCCTGAAGGTAGGGAATTCACAGTTAGGTTGCCCGCAAAGTAGAGAGAGGCAGCATTTCTTATTTGAAAATAACAGAGGCAGATGCAGTCAGAAGTCTGTAGCAATAACATCTATTTTTAAATTCTCCCCTACACCAGAAAGAGCTCCCTCCTAATGAGAAGTCATAGACTGTCGACTGTTTTTTATGGTGACATTTTGCTTCTCCTAATTCTCTTCCTAATGTACTTTTCTAGCAGAGCAAATAATAATTATGAATTATAATCATGTGGTACTATTCTTACCAAACAACAAACTCAACCAGAATAGTGCCAACCAAAGCTGCAAGCAATTTCTCATTTAGGAAAATAGAGTTTTCTGCATTACTGCTACGGGAAAATGTCATATTTCAGCTGATGGCATACATTGTTCTAGACGTAATGATCCTCTTTGTTTATAATGTTGATGAACCACTATGCAACTGCTTGTCAGGTTTTGACTGCACCTGTTTGCAAACTCAGGTAATTATGCTCCGTTGTCTAATTGCTTATTTTATGGATGTTTTGCTCACATGTTTTTAAGCAATGCTGTTTGATTGCAGATAACTAATGGTAGCGATCTCTTCTCATTATCACACTTTAACATTTGATTTGTCTGATTGCTGCAGGTGGAAACAATAGGTGATGCGTACTGCGTTGCGGCAGGGCTCCATAAGAAAAGCCTTAGTCATGCTAAAGCCATTGCCCTGATGGCACTGAAGATGATGGAGCTTTCAGAAGAGGTCCTCACTCCAGATGGGAGTCCTATTAAGGTAACCCCTTTGTTCTTTATTCTCAGCTAGTCAGTGGTAAATTGGCCTGATTAATTCCACTGTTTTCTGTTGGTAGAAATCTACTGCCAGGAGAATTTGAAATTGCATTAAGATTTAACAGTCTTTCTTATGATCATATAAAGTGGATGGTGTCCATCAACAATCACAGCTACTTTAGTAAACACAGCAGATGACACAAAATCAGCAGAGACCTAAAATGCACATTATGCACATTTTGGTAAATGTAGGGATTTACTTTGGACTAGATGTCACTTTGTCATATGCTTATTTGTAGCATTATACACAAATAGGTGCACTCCTGGAGCCTTTCTTCTGGTTCAGTTTAGTGTGAGAAGATAGTTCACATGTTTCAGGAATGTCCCATGCTACAAGCCAAAACGTGATGACATTTTGAAATACATTTCAGAAGTAGGCTCCTGATCTGAACTTTAGCACTGTTGTGGAGGCACTCAGTTCTGCATCTCTGAGGGGCACATGTCTGTTTTATAAATAGTTGATCTGAATAAAAGAGTGTGTAGACTGCTTGCTCTTTCTTGGTGATAATGTACTTCCTTCCCATACAACTCAAGTTCTTCATACTAGTTGATATTAGAGGTAGCAGGAGGTGGAAAAACATGTCAATTTTGTATTATTTTAAAGTTCCACTCTGCTGTTCTGCTGCTTTTGATCTTGCACTGACCTTGCAGTTGCTAGCATTTGGAATGATTAATAATGAAGTGAAAGATAGAAATTCAGCAGGGAAAAAAATCCATGCATTTCTTTTACAAGGTTTGGATTACATGTTGTCTTTATTATGTGTACTCACTCCTGTTTCTGGTTAAATTGTTCTTCCCTTAACACAAACTTTTTGTTTTCAGAGGAAATGGAGGGATTATTTAGAACAATAATTCAACACTGTCTAAAGCCTATAACAAAAGCCACATGTAGCTGGATAAGAAGGCTGGACAGAGTTCCCATGGGATAATTTATATCATTGTTGAGTTGCACTTTGCAAACTGCAATTTCTTTTATCTATTAAAAATGAGGGTTGCAACCATGGATTTTTTTTTTTTTCTCCAAGAATTCAAAGACATTTTGAGGTTTTAAAACTTGACAGAAAATAAATAAAACTCAAATATTCAGTGCTGCTGAGATGCTTCTTGACCAATGAGAATATTACTAAGTTCCAACCTTTCTCTATTAGTTAAATCAAATCTTGAACTATATTACTTGAACTCTTTTTATGTGTCAAGAGTTCAATCAAGAGAGCTTTAATCTAAATGAATTGTTATGCTCTGAAAGGAGAGTGTGGACACGACTCAGCTAAGCTAGAAATTCTATGAAATAGAGCAACACAATACTAAAATGAAAATATATTAAGTTCTGGATTAAATATTTCCATTTTTTAGTATTGATGGTTTGGTTGATATATATTTATTTATTTATTTATTTTTAATTCCAGAAGAAAATATTTATTTGATTACTGCAAAATGTCCACATATCCAAAAACATAACTTTTTGTAAAAATGCCTTGGACTATGGATGTGGAACAAAAATTCTGGAAAAGTTTACATGGGCATTTATCAAACACAGAACACGCATTAAAAGACAAATATTTTCTAAAGACTGAAGAAGAGATAACATTTTAAGTTTTGATGTAGGTAATCATTTACCAATTCATGAAATTGGTATTCATTTACTCCAATCAAAATAGATTTTCTAGATTGATTATTTCTCCATTTTTCCAATGAGTATAACCGATTAATACATTCTATCTAAACTGTCATACACTGCCTTCCAGATCCTCTCCAACTTATTACTTTCTTACAAATGATTCCTGCAATCATAGGGAAATTTTTAAGGTGTATATTTTACTCTTAGACTCACAGTTTGTGGCTGTTTTCATTTCTACTGTCATTTTTCTTTTGGAAAATTATTTGTGGTTTCAGTGACTGCATAAGAAAACCTATAAAAGAAAGAATACGAAGACAATGCATAGCAAATATGCATGCATAAAAAAGAAAGTGCTAAGAATAACTGCATATGTTCAAAAGTCCTAATGAACTTCCTTTTGAATTCAGAACTATCAGTTCATCAAAACTTATGCTGAAAGTAGAGGTACTGAGAAGGTCCTCAGTGGGCGTTAGTTATCCTGTTTTCAGTTTTAAGTGTGAGTGATTTCAAAGCTGCAGGGCTGGTGATACCAGCTAATCACATCTCCAGGGTGACAAAAGCTTAGGAAATTATTGTTGCCTTTGTGGTGAGCCTGCTAATTCATGTTTAAAAAAATGTATCATTTAGAAAGGCTTCTTGATTAGATTTTAAATATATAAGGGTTAGGATTCCTCTCACCTGGATTTCTACTCCATAAAAACTATAGAAATAAGGACTTTTGGAGAAGTCTACTCTAATTTGTCCTACTTTAGGTATCTGCTCTTGTATGAGATGAATCACACCCTAAAACTGTGTATTTTCTCAGTTGTCTGTAAGGGAAGTCTGTAGACCTAGCCTAAATGTGGCTGTCTACACTGAAAGCTTCTACACTCTGTCAGATGAATCCTCCTACAAATGGCAAATAATGCATAGTTTTCTTGCTGATTATGTCAATGATCGTCACAGTTAAGTGTATGCACTACTTCTAAATTGAATTGGCATGACTAACTTCCAGCCAATGCTGAGTTGTATAGAGCAGCCCCTGTATTCATTAGTTTTTCACAAAACTGTGAAGGTGTCCATTGTGCCACAGACTCCTCTTAACAAATACACCATGTGCATAATCCACCTGAAGTTTAAGGAACCCCTAAGTGTGTGTAAATGTTATGATAGACTCAGCTCAGGACCGTTAATAGGAAACTTATTGCTTCACAGACTTTACAATTAGGCCTCACCATTAAAATAGTTAATATATTAACTATTATATAACAGTAGATGTGAAGTACACTCTGTGAGCTATAAAATGGTCTCACTTCTAAACAGTGAACTAGAATGTATTGTAATGTGGTTACTTTGAACTGGTCGTATTGATATAGATGTCAAAACAAGTGCAGTGTTTTGACTATATTTTGACCTTAATTCATATCTGCGACTCATGTTACTGAGATCAATTTACATTCCTTGAGTCTTTGCCAAGTGTTCCAAATATAGAATACTGATGCAGTTTTTTTTTTTTAATTGAAAAGCCTGTTTCAGTGTTTAGATATTTGAAAACTTGAAATCAGAGGGCACTTTTCCTCATGCTGAACTCTCTTTTTGATATTTTTGACAGTTTTCATGAACAACTGTGGCCTTCATTCTTCAGGGTGGTTTAACTAGCTGTTTTGAAAATAAAACAAAACAAAACAAAAAAACGACAATTACTTCACCAACTCTGAGACAAATTTTCAAAACATAATTCCTAAAAATAAGGGACCTTCTGATCTCAGGAGTAAGTAACAGTCTTTTCAAGTTCTCCCCCCCCACAAAACTGGCTGATAAACCTGGACTGAATAGGAGGAAGTTTTTCTCAGCCATTTTATATAATATGTCACACCACAGTAACTTGAAATTTGATTTCTGTTAATAGGCAGACTATTATAGAACAGTTATTCTGTTCTGACTGCATCTTCTAATAAGAAGTAAACACGCTAGTCTTGGTGTTTGCACTGGATTTCTTTTCCAGAGGCATACCTCTTGTTTAAGTTCTCTGAGTTCAGCAATGGAAAATGAGTTCAGAAGTTATCCCTCAGCTTGTTGGGGGTGTGACTGATCATGATGCACATTTAAGATGGCCAATTTCTTACACAGGCAATGTTTTTGTTTTTGTTTTTTTTTAAGGCAGACTCGAGTTAGGAATCTCTTCGGGTTGTCCTGCTTGCAAAGATTTCAGCTCTAGGGAAGCCTAACAGCAATTACGAAATGTAGTGCTTTTTATTTGATGATTACTCGATTAGATACATCTGGCTTTATGATTATGCTTTACAGAATATATATATTTTCTAAATTACTTTGATGAATATATTTCATTGTCATCTCGGGACTGAATTTGCCATAATGTAAATGTTTACTTTTTGTACGGCTTGAAATGATCATCCCCTGTGATAACAGCTTTATTGACATCTTATTGAATGACAATTACACATCCCCAGAAAGGGACTTGGGAAGTTAGGGAGAAAAAGTAAATGAATGAATTTAAAATACTATAACACATAAGTGAGAATTTAGGATAAGATTTTCACCCATAACGTGCATTAGCAGACAATCAAATGGGGTTTGTTATCTGGGTTCACAGTTATCATTTGAAAGTATTCATTGGAGACTTTATGAAAAATCTGTCCCTTATTGGACAGAGGACCTGTGTGACTAGCAAACACTGATGGGCCTCAGGATGGTGACAAGATATAAGAAGCAGGTCTGCTTTATATCCAGCCCCTGGTCTCACCCTGTGTGTTAGAGCTCCTAGTGTGCTGATGAGGGCACCATGCAGCTGACATGTACTCTGGCATTTGTCACTTCCAGCATAGCCAAGGGCAGTGGAAATACACAGACAGAATGAAGACCCCAGGCCTGCACTCCTTATACCAGTGTGAATAGCCTGTGATTTGCACAGTAATGAAAAAAATTTTGCAGAGAGAGTGAGTGGGCTATATTATAGCAGCCTCCGCAAGTCCTATCATCAGTGTTGTAACACAGTCTGCTCTTTTGAAAGAAATATTTGTAATGGAAAATGGGCTGACAGTTCTCCTGTGAGTGATGGAGGATACCATATTTTTTACTCAGTTCTATTTGAGGCAAAATCCCATTACTATAACATGAGCTAAGGCCTTAGTACAAAAGAAGGACTTCTGGCTCTGACACTGCCTGTAGAATTGGATATATGTTTTTATCCTTTTGCCAAAATGTATTTTAGTCCAGAAGCTCTCATATGATTTAGCATCTGCACCACTAATTATATGTAGTACCCCATGACTGTAGTTTGAAAATATTGATTTAAAATTCCCTCCTACATTTAAGTGAGCATTACTTGAATTTATGATATTCTTCATATTTTACTGTATTTCTTCAGATAAAGTGGAAGCATGTTAATTTTAATAGCTAGAGATAATGCTGTAAGAAGAATTCTCCAGAGCATAAACCTTTAGAGATAAAGGTCACAAAGCGTATCTCGTTTAATGTGTTTAAACCTATCAGATATTATCAATGGCATCACTTTTTATCATGCTTCAAATCCTGCCCAATTATTTAATAAGCAGTGTGTATCCTAAAGACACAGAAAGGTCTCCTCTGCAGTTTGTTGTTAAAAGGGCTGGTCTGGCAGAACATACCTAGTTTTGACTAATGAGATTTTCACAAGAGGTTATTCTGTCAGATTGCCAGCTTTTTTTTTTTTTTTTTTTTTTTTTTTTTTTTTTCCCACTGTGTGAAGGTGGTCCTAGTAGGGCTGTGAAGAGATATAGAACTGGGAACACACTGAGGAAAAGTGAATGACTTACATGAAGCTGGAGAAATTAACTGCAGTTATGTAGAGTTGTTGTATACAGGTGATCTTAACTAAAACATACAGTTTTTCAAAACATGTTTTGAAAATTAATTCACAACATGTTTTAAAAGATGTTTTAAAAGATGTTCCACTACAGCAGAAAATTGCAATGTGTATTTCAAATTCTCATGTTAATAATAACCTGAGAATTAGGCCTGTAAATGCTTTAATCAGAAACTGAAGCAAACACATACCCTCAGTTTTCTGTCTGTTTACCTGCTAACAACTAGTTCATGAAATAATCTAAAGTGGAGGAGGTTTTCTAGCTGCTGCTGGCTTCAGCTGGATTAATTAATTCTCAGGTGAAGTAGGTGGGACCTTGTATTCACTGGGATTGCAAGGCACATAGTCTAGTCCTTGGCTCAATTGTTTCTTTGTTATCAAGATATGCTGCGTTTGCAACTTCTAACTTTCAGATGTGCATTGCCAAACCTGTTTTTCTATTGGATTTATAAACCACGCTCAAACAATGTAGTCTGGTCACACTATTAACACAAGAGCCTGTCTTTGTCTTTCAGATAACAAAAGAAAAACAGCATGGCAGAGGGAGATTTTCATATTGAGGTTGGGATTAACCTCATCTAATTTCAAACACTGACAGTGTAGGAAAATGCATCAAAATAGCTCCCTCTGTAAAAGGAGAGAATATAGGTATTTTAGTCTATACTTATATGACATGCTTTCAGTGTCTACCTCATAATGAAATATTTGAATGTATGTTTGTCAGGTAAGTCCTACTTGCAGGGTAAGCAGGCTAATATGCTCTCAGATATATGGATTATCCCAATGGAGGGAGATGGACTGAAACACAGGTTCAAATCTTTGTTCAGTCACAGCCTTCCCATTTGAATTCTAGATGTTTTCCAGGCATTCCATACTTTAACTTCCTAAACGTACAATATAGGTGAGAGCTAATGCTTTGCAAGTAAACCCATGTCTGCAGCACGTCTAAGTTGTCTGACCTTAGAGCCATGCCACTGCATTAGTTTTAATTTGTGTTGTCTGTTTATATGCCTGTTTTTGTAGTGACTGGAACAATGAAAGCCTCATTTTGATAAACCTCTGATCTCTGCTTCTGAAGTGGTAAATATTAGTAAGCATGAACTCTGGCTCCTGAGTAAAGGTGTGAAGGTCTCTCTGTGCTGTTCATGCCCACAGTGAGAAGGACACATGGCAATGGGCAATGAGTTTTAGTGTGTGTAGCATCTTCTGCCTGCTCATTAAGTGTTCCCTTTTGCATTATGGTAATATGGCAGTTGGGCCCAGAACACAAGTAGAGTGAAAGTACTGACATTTGCTTGAATATATGCTTTTTATGAGTTTCTAAATGAAGCAGCCATTCCCAAACATACAATGAAGGAGAGTACTCCAGTGAGTGTTATCTGTGTAATCCTTTTCAGTGTGTCTTGCCTTGTTTTAATTTAGATTGTGGCGTGCTACCTAGTGGTCCTCACCAAATGTGCATCTTTACGTAAGCAGTGACAGGTTGTCTGCTTTGTTTTAAGTTGTTGAAAGGATGACTGCTGATGCAGGCATTCTCATCAGCCGTGTATGAATAGCTGCGGTGTTACTGCAATGCTCCTAGCTCCATCTGTGGTCTCCTAGCAACTTCGCCTTGTACCTAATGTCTAAATCAGCCTCTGGAAGGTATATAATATCCTACTTCAGGCTGGATAGCCTCAAATAACTAATTTCATTGTGTTAAAAGAAAAAGAAAATCTGAAACAGTTCCACAAAAGAAACACTTCATTAAGAAATATTTTGACTAAAAATGGTTGAAGAAGACAGTACAATGGTTTTACAGGCTTACCAACATTTGGGCATCATTACTCCTTTGGGGAGCCTTTAGAGCTGCACGTCTCAGGGCAAAGCTAAGTGAAATGGAGAGCCTAAGCCAGCTCTGGAGACAGTTCCCTGGACTTGAGGAGAGTTTTAGTTCCTGCTCTATACCTGCCTTTGGAAATGCGAAGTGAGAGAAGCTGGTCTCCATGGCTCACTAGGCTTCTGGGAAATTGCAGGTTTTATTAAGCTATCCTAGGGGAAAAATTAAACCTTCCTCAGCCCTCCAATCATTTTCACTCAAGTGCTTCCTTTTGCCTGATTTTAATAATAATCTTTATTCTTATTTCAAAAACCACACCCATTATTTTCAACTTCCATTCTTTGGAAGGAATTTTATCATACCCAGTTATATGTTACGCCCACTGTATGACAATGTTACTGAATATGTGTTGTAATAACAAGGGTAAGTGGGGTTTAATATAACTACTAGGTGCACAACAGCAGCTTTGTGGAAGAGGTTGGTCTGAAAAATCAGGCAGATATTTATTCTGCTGAAGAAGGATGTTGCCCAAAGGGTTGGTTGCTGTTTCAGATGGCATGCATTTCTTGCTTTAATCAGGTAGCAGGGCAAGATCTGTGGTAGATGATAAAGGTAGACTTTTAAAGCTACCAGAGTTTGATCCTCCACAGCACAAGTGTCAGCCTGCTGTGGATGAAATTGCAGAGCACAGAAACATGATATCAGGATTGGCAACACAATGTAAGCCCAAGCTGAATGAATTAATTACAAGACTATTAAGATATTATTTTTCTGACTTCTGGCAGGAAGAGACCTGAAAGATGAGCAGAGAGCTAATTAATAAAGTGTGGATCACTGGGAAGAGAATTTGCCTTCGGACCTAGGCATTCTCCTCTCATGCATTGCTTTCTTTGACATTGCTCTTCTAAGAGCAGGAATCACAGAATCATTAAGGTTGGAAAAGACCTCCAAGATCATCTGGTCCAACTGCCCCCCTACCACTAATATTATACACTAAACCACGTCCCTAAGTACCACATCCAACTTTTCCTTAAACCCCCAGTGATGGTGACACAAAGCCCTATTCTGTCTACCCTTGTCTCCACGGCAAAAGTGAAACACACTTGTAAAAAACAGGGTACGTACCCAGGGCACCTTGTGGACTTTTCTATTATTAGTTCACAGTGACTATTCCATGTTCACAGCAGTTTGTGATTCACAGGATTTAGGTTTTACTGACTACAAAAGCATATGCAATTCAGATTTGCCTGTTCACTAAGGCAGGCAAAACCTTGCTGTGATGGATGTACCTAGTTCATAAGTTTGTCCATGTGCCTCACAGTGAGCATTCATGACCTCCTTCACTTAACATAAGTAAGTGCAGAGGAAAGACAAGAGATGGTTTCAAGATTTAATTCCTGCATGGGATTTGTGGCCACAGGATGTGCAGCTGGATTGCAGGGTTAGATTTAAGGTCACCGGTCTGATTCTCACGGTTCAGCGGTTTTTCCAGACACAAACGCCTCCAAGTAATGTACCATATGTCTGGCTAGTAGTAGAGCTGGTCGGGAATTTTCCATGGAAAGCAGTTTTTGGCTGCAAACACTAAATTATCAAAACCAAAACCTCCTTAGAAATGCCTGGCCACATTGTCATAAGTCAAGAACATAAAATTTTTATTTTATGAGATTTTTTTTTTCTTTTGCTACAGAACAGCAAATAGATTAGTGACTAGGACAATCACCTGAAAAAGATTAAAAAAAAAAAAAAAGGGATTAATACAGAGTAAAGGATTTGAAGTAGTAGTGTCCGTGTCCTTTGGGGAAAAAAAAAAAATAAATAAATGTTTTCTTGGCTATAGAGGATGGAAGCTACCCTATGAAAAAAATTTTGTATTGGGGCAGTTTGCACAGCTATGAAATTGCACATTTTGGTTTAGACTTGCTCCACTCAGTGGAGTACTTCCATGCTGAGGCTGAAATTTTCAACTCTTATTATTGTCATCAACTCTTAAACTTTTTATTCAGGCAAAAGAAACCAAGCAAACAAACAGGAAGAAATACAAACCACCAACCCACTAGGCTGATAAATAATCAAATCTGAGATGTATGCTGGAAATTTAGGATGTTGACATTGTTATATCTTCAAGAAAACAACAATAAATGTTTACAAAGTGAAAACCAACATGTGTATAGTGATATTATGGATTTGTAAAAAAAAAAAAAAAAAAAAAAAAAAAAGTCAAAGCATTATATAATTTAAAGAATTGGGCTAGGGAACCCAGGGTGGCTGAATGCTGAGCTTTTATTTCTGGTAAGTCAGGAGTCTATGTCACTGAATATCTTCTTCCCTTAAGTGTGTCTTTCTGTCATATAAGACCTAAAAGTCAGATTTCCACTGTCAGCTACGAGAGTATTTTTCCTGTCTTCTGAGATGGAGAAGAGATGGAAAATGCTAAAAAAAAAAATAAAATAAATAAAAATCAAAGTATTGATAAGACAAAATACACAAGTGTATGAAAATTCATGGAAAGTAAATAGTAGTACACTGAGAAGCAAGCACAGATTTTTGCGTATAAGTAGTCCTTTTGTGGAGTCCAGCCACATATGCATGAACAGAAAATGCTGCTAGTTTTGAATTGCTTCCTCACTGAGTTAATAGACACAGGTGCTCTGACAAAGACCTCTGAGTGGGAATTAGTGGGGAGAAGACTTTGCTTTTTACAGCTGTTGATGTGGTCTTTACCTGGGTGTCTATGTTTCCAGCTGCTGAGATGCTGCCAGGCAGCTGCTGCCCTGTGTTGTATTGCTACAGCATCTGCCTCTCCTTGTGCTTCAGCATCCAAGCTGTCTGCACCTGCTTTTTGGTCTGCTTCTCTTAAGGAAGCCTCTTCTGGCCCATGCTAGTGATAGGAGTGAGGAACCTCCTTTACTGTCCTCTGTCACATATGTTGTATTTTCCAGGCTGTGTAGTATTTCATTTTCAGAACCACCAGTACTTCACCAATGTCCCTTCATTTTCTTTCTTTTTTCCAAGGGTCCAAACAGTGGAGTTGCCTAAACCAATTGCTTTTATCTGCTTTTTATCAGCCTCCTTTTATCTGACCCTATTCTGTAAGCAAAAGATGGTATGTACACAGAAGCCCTCTGATATGGAGAAGTAACACATCCTCCTGGATAATGCAACTTGGGCATCCAATGTGCTAGGTGACAGTGCTAGCATATCTCCTTTCTCTTTCACCCTCCTGCAGATAGGAGAGAAAATCACATGAGAGGTCCTCTTCTACATTTTCTTCTCCCCTCTCTTTTGTTTCCTACTGCATGGATACTTTTGAATGAGGTCCACAAGAATTAAAAAGAAAACAACAAAAAAATGGAGCTGAGCTGCTCCATGCCTACTTTTTTTATACTGCATATGCTCTGTTATGCATTTAAAAGGTGTAGTTACCTTGTCCCTTTGTCAGGTTTCTCCATCTGTTAATATAATTTTGCTGGGAGGACTATGCTCACTGCAGAAAAGGGCTACTACCAGCCCTGCCTACAGAAAGATTTCCCATCTTGTGAGGAAGAGCACCTTGGTAACCCTTGTCTTTTCTGGCCCTGAACTGACAGCAGAGCCTTGCACAGATTCCCAGAAGAACTGCCTTGTGTCTGGCACTGGTTGTGTCTTTCTCAGCCCCACTGGGTAATCCTGTAGATATGTTGACCTTTATACAGCTCTGGCTGCATACTCAATATTTAGGGGATTTTTAGAAGCAGCTGCTAGCATCCCTTTGCAAGACCAAGGCAAAGCAGTTGTATTTTTTAATGAGAATTCACTACTTTTCTTCCTCCATTTCCTCCAACACACACACCTCTGAGAGTAAAAGTCAAAGTCTGCTGTTTTATGCACCATTTAGAAAGCTCTATCGCATATCTGTTGTCATTATGCTGTGCTAAACAGTGAGTCATGATGCTGTGCTATATTTGAGTGAACAGTTCAGATGGGGGGTGGATGCCAAAGGATAATACTTGGCCTTCTGTTTGAAGCTGACAAGTTCAGAAACATTGTTCAACTGTTTTAGAATAGTTTCATTCCCTGAGGAAGAATGTATTTCCTGTCATAAATAAATCCATAAACTAAACGTTTAATGGTATTTCAGCTTCCTTTCATATGAGACAGAGCATTTTGGAAAAAATGCTAATACTTCAGAGGAACTTGTGACAGCTTCTTCTGTTCAAATGTCGTCCTTAAATTTAAACTAGAGTAAAAGTCATTAAATGTAAATAAAGAGCTTCAGAGGCTTTATATTCAATAACCTGAACTTTTCTGTAGACAAAATGATCTGTATGTTCTGGTATATCTCGTGTCTGATTTTGGGTTTTGCATTTATACTGGAGAGGAGAGGAGAGATATTAGTTTTTAACGGAAACGAAGAAACAAGGTAAAATATTTTAAGGATGTTCAGATAGGGGCTTTTTAGTTTCTTCCTAGTATGTGAACCATTTGATTAGGGGAATAAAAAGAAAGATGATGGGTTAGGTTGTACTGGAATTTCTCCCAGCTGGCAGAACTTGGAAGGATCCAAAAGATTATTACCCAGCAGGAAGACATGATTCTTATGTGGGTTTCAAGCTTTCTTACAGGAAAAAGAATCAGCCCTGAGGAAGAAGATGAGAAATGATAGATCTCTGAGATCTCATTTTCATTCAGGGAAAGTAAATATCCACACCAGCAGACACAATGCGTTGGATAATTTCATTCCTATTCTTGCTGAGATGTAGTTTTCTTAGAGTGAACAAGATAATCCTGACATTCAGATAAAGATTATAACCCTAAAGTTTCCACCATTATCTTGAAATTTAAAGAGACAGAAACTGATTAAAACAAGCTTATCTAAAGTTATGATATATTTGTATTCTTGAAATTTGGTGTTCATCTGGGAAACATAAGATAATCTTTACAAAAGGGTATGCTTCCAGTCTTCTGTGGATGTAGAGACATCTCTTACATGAATTGGAATGGAAAGTGAGTAATTAAATCCCTAAATGCCTTATTAAAATTGTGTCTTTTCTGTTGTCTTTCTATGAAATATTATTTTTCTTTTCATGACAGCTTGCTTGGTAGTAGATGATATATTTAGAAAATAGATGAAAACTACCTTTACAAAAAACAAACAAACAAACAAAAAAAAACTTTAAAAAATAGGTTATTTTTGACTGTGCAGTTTCCAGAGTTCTTTTGTTCTTTTGGTGAGGAGCTAACTGCTGTTGTTACTACTTTACTACTGTTATTTCTACAGGCTGGTCTTTTAGAAATCACACTGTGGCTACAAACTCCTTACAGAATTAGATTTGTATCTGTTGGGAGCATCAGTCTGTTTTACTTAAAAGGCACAGATTGAACCTTACCTTCAAGAAGTCTTTTCTGTTTTTTGAGTACTCTATGACAGTGACAATGACCAAAAAGGAATATAAAATGATGAACATCTTTCCAATTATTCCAATAAATATTAGTGTTTTTCTGAAAGGAAAAAAAAAAAAAAGTTGTGATCTGAAGGTGGTCTTATTGTTAATAAAAAATTGAGTTTTGTGGTCTGAAAATCAGGCCTCTGCAGAACATCTCAAGTAGGACAATTAGAATCCCTACCCACTCCAAACTGTGTATAGTCAATTGTAAAAGGTGTTTTATGATGTGTGGTTATAGGATTGTGGTCTTTATTTATGTGGTATTTATTTGTGATTTTTTTTTTTTTTTTTCAGCTTGTGGTTGACTTTTTATCTTTTCCAGTTTGCAGAGCTTTTTATACACCAACTTCAGTAACTAGTTATTGTACTTTCTTCCCAATATTATTTAAAAATCATAATCTCACACAACACTGCTTGCTTAAACTTAGAAAATAGCATTGCTGATCAGTTCTAGGTTTGATCACAATTCCTACTCATATTATCAAAAATAGTCCAGAGGTTATAAGTAATGGATACAATTTAAACTAGGTTAGCTACCTATACATTTGTGAATCTTAGTGGTTTGGGACCTGAGCTCAAGTCGTTTGACTTGAGTAGAAAATCTTTTACACTTATCTACCTTTGTTTAGCCTTTGATTTTCTGAGGTGAAGCTGTTTCTGAATATCAGTTTGCAGATACTGGAAGGCATATATAAAGACTTAAAATTTTTGTATCTGTATAACAAGTATGTATGTGTTCAAGAATTTACAGTGTTAGAACTGTACCATCTTGTAAAACCAAAAAAGTGTGGAATGTCTCTTAGGCATTAAAATTAGCATGAGCCATGATTTATCTGCAAGTCTCTGGATTTCTCTTTTTTTCTCTTTTACTTTTATGGGTGTAAACAGACGACTCTGAAGGTTTAATCCTATCTGTGAGAGCCTTTGCTTATAGGATACTTGACTATCTGAAGTGTTGAGTATGTTTTAAAAATAAATTTTATTTCAGTTGCACATTTTTATTCAACTATGAATACATTTAAGGAATGTGTGTTTTATAAGAACTACCATAGTCGTGTTGAATTAAAAAATGATGGACTTGCATCTACCAAATCACTGTAGACTTTCACGCTTGTATGCATTTCGCTGATACTTGTCTGCTCTAAACTGCTCTATTTTTGATTCACTTGTAAACATCTATCCTTCTGGACTTACTGAAGTGGATGCTAAGAGATATTCACCTAAAAAAATTAGTTAATAGCCAAGTCCATGTCCCACACATACTTATATTTAGGTTTAGATAATAACAACAAAAACTCAGAATCATCATAACAAAAACTCAGAATCATCATAACAAATTGAAGTTGTTCCTTAAATATACATAAGTATTCCACATCTATATATTATGTAGGTATTTAATGAAAGGCCAGATTCAGCAAACCTACGTGTGACTGGTCTGCACCCACATGAGGAGTTTATAGCCTTACAGACTAGTGTTATAGTTAATAGTAAGAATGATTGTTGAATGTCTAATTTTGCCACTTTTCAATAGCTCATGTATTTTATGGTTAAAAGGGTATGCTTATATCAAAGGGAATTACAAATACCATAACATTAAAATCTAGGAGGGAAAATGTATTTCAGTAATCCCTTGAATCTGTATGAACTGAAATGGACTATAATCAAGGTTTGTTGGATGAGTTTGTTTCAAGACACTTACAGCACAGTACTTGCCCTTAACATATCATGATGGGAAATCTCTGAGTAACTTTACTGCTCAGACACTTAACAGTAGGATAATTATACTTAAAAAAATAAAATTGTTAACTTAAAAATATGTTCGTGGAGCTACATTTTATAAAACAGAAGCCAATAGCATGTGTTCCAGAGAATGGGAGTTCAGACAGTTCAAACAGTGTTTTCAATTTTGATTTACATGTAGCTTTTGGGATAATCACAATTTCAACTGTAAAGCCTATGGAAGCCTGAGAAACCCATACAGCTTCAAAAAATACAGTGATGGATATTTTCTGTAGATGTCACCTTACTTTGTTAGCTTCTGTGCACTGAGGCAACATGAAAATGTCTCCAAAATTAATAACTGAGTCTTTCTTTTATATGCTTTCAAACACTAATTAAATTTCAATACATACTAATTTTAGTATGGACAAGATATCTTAAACACTGAAATATTGTTGCGGGCTGAAGGCAGTTCCATTATTTTTAACTACAAAACACCAGTCTCCATTTCACTGGGCTACGTGTGCATAAGAACTTTCTCAAAGGTGAAAATTAAATATGTTGTGGAGTTTAAATTCAGGGATTTTTGCTGTTGTTCTATTTTGTTTGCTTGATTGTTTGGTTTTTATATTTCTCTATGTGTTTACCACAAAACCTCACATCTCTTAGGAAGGTATTTGATATTCAAACTTACAGTCTCCCTTTTCTTAAATTTTTGGGGAGAACAAAGCATGATTACATTATGTTTGGCACTGTATAAAACATTTTCTCTGTCAAATGAAAAGAAAATTTTCACAGGCTCCAGTGACTCTTTCATTTAACCCCATTTGTCTCCAGGGTACTGTCCCTGCATACTGGGCTCATTCTTCAAGTGTTGCATCTACTTTCATGGCCACAGTATTGGACTAGATGGTCTTTTGGTTTGATACAATATAGTTGTTTTTATTTTCTTATCTAATATATTGCCTAGTCCTAGTCACAGACCTCTGCAGCTAAATGTCAGCTTGTTTTTCTGAAGACATGACACACTTTATGGGTTGGATATCTGAGATAATAAAAATAAAAAATAAATTAAAAAAAAAATAAAAAAGTGTGTGCTCTGACTGAGGTCATGGCATCTATTTCAGTCTGGTTACCCTACAACATTTTATGGTTGCTTATGCACTGCCATTTCCTCCCCAATGGCTTAGCAGAGAGCTTGTGAAATTGCTAATTATAAACATATTGAGGAGACTATGACATCTTTCTGTTCTCAGAGCTTTCATTATTTCTGAGCACATGCCAAAGAATTTTTAGCCTTTTTGTTTTTCATGAGATCTTCCTTGATTTTTTCCATTTGTTGCATTGTGTGAACATTGTGAGTATTGGTAACCTAAATTACGTGATATCTTTTCTCCTTGAACAGGGCAAAACCTTCTAGTGCATGAGAAGGAATGATAAAAAGCTAAATAAAGACTTCTTTTGTTCACACACAAACACTATTGTTTACAGGAGATGAGATTAATTTTGTAAATATCTGTTCACCAGTAAAGTGTTTAGTTCTGAGTGTTCATCACTAGAAAGAAATGAACTATCATTCAGAATCAAAATGATTGTTTGTAAAAATGAATTTTATTTTTTTTTGCAGAGTGAAGAAAGGTTATTCTCATAGTAGAACTGTCTCTCTAGTTATAGCTAAACAAATTTATAAAGCCACACTCTATAATCTACAAACTGTAATATACTTAAGAGTTTCCAATCAAGTTTTCAGTGAGGCTTACCATGGTATTTTGCAGTCATCCTACAGACCTCAACATACCTTGATGTAGAAGCTTGTGTCAGGTATATCATCCTTTTTCTGTTTTTCAACTTTTCTGTAAGTAGAGCCAGCTGAAGCTGCATCCAGCAAATAGCCACCAAGATGATGGAGGGTCTGGAGCACCTCTCCTATAAGGAAAGGCTGAAAGAGCTGGGACTGTTCATCCTGGAGAAGAAAAAGCGCAGGGGGATCTTATCAATGTCTATAAATACTTGAAGGGAGGCTGCAAAGAGGATGGATCTGGTCTCTTTTCACTGGTGCTCAGTTCCAGGACAAAAGGCCATGGGCACAAATGGAAAGACAAAAGCTTCCCCCGAACATCAGATTTTTTATTTTTCTTTTATTCTTTTTTTCTTTTTTTACTTTGAGAGTGACCAAGCACTGGCACAGATTGCCCAGAGATGTTGTGGAGTCTCCCTTCTTGGAGATCTAGTTAGAAATAAGCATATATTTGAGAACATTCTCTATGTGTAAGGGACATCTTAAACCCAAAAAATCTCTCTGTAAATGCCTTTGTTTGGAACTAGGACCAAATTGCAACAGACTGCTTTTAATTTGGTCTTCTGAAGACAGAAAAACAACATGAAACCCTGACAACTTCCTAAAAATTATTCTCTGTACTCTCCCACCACTCCTCACCAAAAAAGCAAAAACAGAAAGAAGCCAACAGGAAAAACTTGGTTAGTGGTTGTATACCTCTGGAACTGAATTCATTCCCTGTGTGTAAGAATCATGCAATAGTCAGTAGAAAGCACTGAAATTTGTGGAAATTTATGTGAGAGGGGTTTGTGCTACCAGTTTTGCTGCTGCTTCCTTTCCAATGATCAAATCTTTCACTAGACTTGTTTTCCTCAGCAGGAAGTGGGGATGATGCAGATGTGAGTATAGTTTATTTTGCCATGGAGACATTTTAATGGAGAATTTTAATTCATTTTGTTTGCAGACATTTCTAAAAGTCCATCTCCTGATGTGTCTTGCACAGTAATGACAATATTATGAATAATGCCCTCACATCCTGATGCAGCTACTTCCTGAATATACTTCCAATTTAGTGGGACAAGGTTCAAAATGGAGGAAGTGACTAATAGGTTCTTCCATTACTTTGGGCTAGCAGAAGGTGTAACCTTTATAGCACGATGTCATTATAGCCATTATACTTTTCCTGCATTTGCTGTGACACATCTGGAGGTCTGGCGTGTAAACGAGTTGTGCATCTTTGTAGTTGCTTGTAAGTTGCACTATGGATTTAGATTGTTAAAATTTAGCTTAACATTGGTCCTCTCTCTACACTCCTCTTCTCCCAAACTTTTGTTTTGCCTTGTATTAGAATTTTATTTTTGAGGTGTTTTCTGCAAGCAAAATTCTTGTTTACATCATGTGATTATGTGCAGGCACATAGGTTATAGCCTTTAGGTCTGGGAAATTCCAGCATTTAAAATCTCCATAGATTAATATGGATTAACAGGCTTTGTCATCCTTTCTATGAATGCTGTGAAAGAGGCCTGTATTTTATTTTCTGTCTCGTACCCTTAACTGCTACAACCTCTCCTCCCTTCCCTATAGCTTGTCTCTGTAAACTCAGGCATCATAACCAGCCCCCAGCATACTGCCCACTCACCAGCTTGCATTCCTCTCTGCTATCCTTCCTTGTCTTTGACCCAAATAATTTCTCAGAAAAACTTTGTGTCAGGGAGAGTTAATTAAAATGGGTCAGATACTGTTTTTGTGCAATTTTGTGCAATTCAGGAGACCCTCTGCAGTGTTCTGTCAGCTATTGGTGTCAGCACGGGGTAACTGGGTGGAAATGCAGTCAGACAATTCATGTGATGTGATGGTACTTTCTGTTTTAAACTTTGTTGGACTGGACTGAAGTGATGTCAGAAATAGCATTTGCGACCTCCACGGAAACAGCATGTTATCAAAACTGCTTCTTTTAGAAAGAATTTTTGGGGAGGGCTTCCAGGATTCTCCAGGTTAAGAAGAAAAGGTTCTGTTCCTATAAAAAGTATTTAAAAATCTATTGTATGACATTTTTCTAGTGAATCAATTTGTTTAAATAATGTCAAGGACATGTAGAGGGGAGGAGGGACACTTGCTGCTGAGTCACATTTTAAGGACAATTTTATTATCACCCTGTCCTTACAGATAGGATGGCAGACTAAGGAAAAAGGAGCTGTAGTGAAGTATGCCATTAATTAGTGCTTGTGGTCTACAACAAATTGAATCCAATAAACTTTTGAGGAACCCACCCTCTGCATAGCTTTGAAAAAACTAGCAAAGACAGAAGACCAGAAATACCCTGGCAATTAAGGGAGAGGCAAATATCAAATGCTGTGTGTTCCAGCTTTACACCAGTTAGCTCAAGCGTCTATAAGAGTCATATCCATCACAGGATATGCACTCAGCAGAGTTGATTTGTCTTTTGCCTTAGAAGGCCCCATGTCACAACAAGTTAAAAGCAAAGAAACCTGGAAAGGCATCCCTTTGTGCTTGTCTTTTTCTGGTATTTTTTTCATAGGTGTTGATGACTGCCATGGTTTAAGCCAGGACATTAATCTTTAAGGCCATTTGGGCTGACTCAGTTGCAATGCCATGCTTTTATGGTTATATTGAGGCAAGCACATCTTAAGAAAGTTTGAAGTCTCTATGCCTCACTGAAAACTTAAAATGCGGATACGGCTTTAAAAATATTCCTAATCTGAGAATATCTTTTCTTGGTTTGGAAAAAAAAAACAAAACCTACAAAGATTTTGTGTTTGCTTGACTATTTTTGTTTGCGAAGACTATGAAAGTGTACTTCTTGTCAACAGGTTCTTCACACTTTGGGGTAATTTTAAAAAATGCTTTTTGAGGTGCTATGTTCTATAATTTAAAGGGATATTAATTAAATGTACATTTTAAAGAAGATTTACTTCTTTTTGCTCACATTCACTTACTAAGTTCAGCTACATGATTTTGGATGGTCGCTGGTGTGAATAAAACTCCTGTTTATTTTTATAGAAAATAATTATTTGACTTCAGAGAGGAGAAAATAAGTTTTCATTACTCTCCCACATTTCTACTATAGGGAATGTTGTCTGTGGAACACGTAGTCTGAATATTATTCATCTTTCCCATGGGGATTATTAGAAGTGCATTAGGATTCTCTGAATTTGCTTACAGACCAAGATCAATTTCTAAGACTAAATGAAGAAAAACTGTGGTGAGTTATCAGACACAGTCCACTGTAGTAGCTGCTTTATAATGAGCTTTGAGACACACCATAATGCAGTCTATTGTTGCAAGTATCTTTTGTACTCACACTGCCTACCTTTTATAAAGTAATTAGAATTTAACATGCAACAGCTTTGAAATGTATGAAGCCAAACCCTTAATGTGGGAAGCTTCTGGGATTAAAAAATTTTGCAGAGAGAAATCTTAAATGTGTTTTGACTAATTTCATTGAAGGTTCATCTACAGCATTTTATATAAGCGAATCTATTAATTTTATGGGCCTTACAACTCTAATTAAAGATGTCATTGTTTTCATTTTACATTTCAGTCCTGAACGTTTCTAATACAGCCATAACATTTTTACCTAGTAATGGAGTAATTGTTATAAAATGTCAGTTGCTGATTTGAATTTTAGAAAGTACATTTTTAAATGCATGATCGCAGGCTTGGCTGACTAATGTTACATAGTTAGTTTTGGTCTCTTGCCCCTGTCAGTGATGATCCAATAGGTTTGCCTGTTCATCAAGTAGCTCAGTGCAACAGAAAAGGATCAGTGGATGAAGCCTTTACATCTACAGTCGCTGTATATTTTTGAGGTTTCACTTGGACTAATTTTGTTTCTTTGACTGAATGCCACCACTGTACGTGATCTGAAAGACCAAGTGCTGATTTGGACCGTGATAAGGCCCTAATAAACCCCATAAGGGGTTTTCTTGCTTTTGGTGTACATCTTGAGCACAGCTCCTGCTTTAATTTCATCTGACAGGGATCTAGTTCACAAACACATAAACTGCTTGTTAAAATGAAGCACTGTAGAGTAAGAAGCGACAACAGGGGAACTTCCTTCAAAATTGCACTGTTTCGTTGAATGAAACTCACTGTAGGATATAGTTGAATTTTACATTGGAAGTTGCTATCCAGTTGAATTTTACATTGGAAGTTGCTACCTTTTATTGAGGTGATTCTCTCATCCTCATGCAGGCTGAATGTGCAACTCCCTAAATATTTCCTCTGAAAAGGTTTATTTTAATGCTTTTTCACATGAAGCAGAATATTAACCATCAAACTACAGTTTAACTGTGACTGTGATGAGGAACAGAACAACACCAAAATAATGACTAGTTCAATGTAAAATTGCATTTTTTTTAGCAGAACTGACTGTCTGCTTCCTAAAAGATGACTGTCAAAAATGTTATTAATTTTCCTGCCTGACAAGACTGCACTAATTCATTATATATGGTGTACTCAATACTGAAAAATATGTTGTTAAACATAGATCATCATATTATCATTTTAAAGAAGTGTTAAAAATCTGAGTTAATTTTCTAAATAAAATATGTTCAGTGTAATCAGTATATTCTCCATTTTCATCTCTAGTCACTTATTCAGTCTTATAACCTAATCTGATTAGAAGTTTTCTGCCAAAACAAGCTTTTGATTCAATGACACCAAAGATGTCTTTCAGTACGAATTTTAGTGAACATACTGACAGCTTTCTTTAAGACCAGTGTAGACTATGGTTTTCCAGGGATTGAAAGCCTCTTATCATTCCCATTTCACCTACCAGAACTGTAGTCTACAAACACCCAGTTCATATCAAAAAGGTTTAGGCTTCAAGTCTCCCTGCCATGCTCCCAGCTTAAGATCCAAGATCTAAGATCCAGTTTACATGCTCCCCAGTGTCTCTGAAGAACCCCTTTGCCCACTGAGGACCTGAAAAGGTACAAACCTTGTGAGACCTAGTTCTGCTGAAGGTTCTGAGTTTGGGATCCATCTGTTTTCCAAAATGTTTAATTATTATTAATATTTCCCAACCTGACATCTGCTAAAAGTCATAAATTTATTTTCTCAGAAAAATAAAAATAAATGTGTTCCTCCTAATATTTTCACACCTTCCTATTACCATAGAAATAGATGTTCCAATATTGGACACAACTCTGTATCTCAGTGACTGTTTTCAATTATTTTTGAGTGTTCT